TAATTTCTTTTTTTCATTTATTTACAACCTGTTGTATCTTTCTTCTATATTTATGATTATCAACAGAAAATATCAAATATCACATTTAAATGTGTTTATATATGTAAGATAGAATTTGGGATTCAAGAGTAGAAAGAGAAGATGTAGTTGTTAATCACTAATTATAATATCTTTTGGAATAATAGGATTTTCTGACAAATTTTTTTCTTCTTGTCAGTTTAAAAGTATCAAGTAACGTATTTTAATTGTCCAGTTTCAGAAAAGAAACTAAATATTTTCTACTCTCATTACATTCTTTAGTTTTTAATTGTCCAAATTTTTCATTTCAGTTCCTTTTCTTGTTGATAAGGAAAGATGTTCACATTAGTATGTTGTACTAGGACTCTTGTCTGACTTATTGTAAATCTTCGCACTTTTCTTTCAAAGTGATTTTCTCTTTCTTTTTCTATTTATTTAATATTAAGAATCAGTGGCATCTATCTGTCCTCAAATTTTGAGACAATTAATTTTCCCCTCTCCCTCTCTTTTCTACTGAAATTTTGTTCAAGAAGACATGTGTAAATAAGAATATCGAAAAATCATATTACTATGTTAAAAGTGTCCTCTTCTGACATGAATGTAGTAACCTTGTCTAGAATTTCCAATGATTATTAGTAAACTATTTAAATAAAGTTTTACTGTTAAATTAATTTACAATATTTAGAAGAAATAAAGTTTCTCTCATTTCTTTTTAAGAGAGAATTAATATTTTTCTTCTTAAAAGATATAATTTATTTTTGATTTTAATTTGCAATTGTTTACCTTTAAAATCATAACACAGGATGAATACTAATATTAAAAGTAAATAATTACAAAGATATTTTGAAGATGTTACCTTTCACAATGTACAAGTTCTTTTCTTGTTATAGTATATTTTTTTTATTCTCTCTTGAACTATACAATGTCAACATTTTTGCTTTTGCTTTTTTCTATCGTTCAGAATAAATAGAAATTTCCTTTTCAAATTTTCTGTTCATGACAATGTGAATGAAGTTAGTTGAAAATTGTAAAATGCACTTAGATAAGCATGAAAATGTCTGTACATTTTTTTTTATCCTCTGTAAAAAGTAAAACATGACGGTCAAATTTCAATGTACTAATAATAATTTTTCATCTTTTAGGGAAAAAAAGAAATTATTTCAATTGAATATTCTTTTATTACTCGAATTTTAATTTTTATGCAGTAAAATTTGACATTGAATTGAAAAATTTGTTCAATATCTAAAATAGAAATTTTTGAACTCTCTTTTTTCCTTAGAATTTTACAATAGAACTTTTTTATTGATGTTTACTACATATAATTTAGTAATTATAAATGTAATTTAACGTTTATAGTCGAGTAGTTTAGAAGTTCATGTCGTTATTTTTTTTTTTTTTTTTTCTAGGTGTTAATGAGACTGTCTGAAAATATGTATCGATATTTATATAATTAACTCAATGAACTCTATCTTTTTTTAATAGTATTAGATTTGAATTCTAAAACTATGAGTGAAAATATTAGAATATTTTTACAAAATATACTTCACTCTTTACTTATATTTCAAATTTAGTAATTGTCAATATTTTCTTCATCAATAAAATTCTCTTCAGTTTTTTTCTTTTCTATTTTTTCGTTTTTCAGTAAAACACTAATTTTTCCTTTTATTGCTTCCAACATATTGAACAAATACAATCAAATAGATAGAATAAATAGGGCAAATTTTTATTTATTTGTCTTGATAATTTTTTATCCTCTATTTATATTGTTCAACTAGAAAGCATATGACTAATTCGGTTATAAAAAAAAAAAAAAAAAAAAAAAAAAAAATGAGAAAAGAAAACTTGACAATAAAATTTTTCTTTTTGGAAAATTCTATTATAAATTTTATTATTATTTATTATATTAAACGAAAATACAATGTAAATATAGAGATTCGAAATAATTTTTTTCTATTTTCATATTCATTTTAAATAATAACCTTGACAAATATAATCGATATAGAAATAGAAAATTTTGTTCATACAATTATGATTTATAGTTAAACACCTTATTGTTAGTAAGAAAAATAAATGAAACGATCCCAGTATAGACTATCTAAAATAGAAAAAACAAAAATAGAAAAAAGAGAATGAGAATGACGGAAAGACAATAAATATATTTAAATGTCATAAAAAGAATAAGAGTATCACTATAATTAATGGATTGACGGTTCTATTTGACTGATTTTGAACAATAAAAATATGACTTTTGAAATATTTGATTTGATTTGTAAAACAAAAAAAAAAAGAAGAAAATATTTCATTTGAAGTTGATAATAATTAATAAAAATAAGCCTTTTTCAATATTAAAAATTAAGTTGTTGTTGTTGTTATTTCGATTAATTCCCTATTGGGAAATTATTGAATTTATTATTATTTGACGTTAAAAGATTAATGATTACTATAGTCAAGTTCAATAATCGTGTTAATCCTAAGCTTATCAGTGAATAATATATCTGTCTCGATAGGGAACAATGTTAATTTAATATAAATAATCTTGTATATACATATGTCATCTATTTGTTATTCACCATATGAGAAGAAGAAGAAGAAAAAAAAAAAATCAAAACAAGTATTTCAAAATAAACATCTATCTTAATTAATAATAACTCTATAGAGATTAATTATTTCCAAATGATCAATGTTTAGAGAAACCTAATCTAATATTTTAAACACAATCTCATCTATTTTTATAGGAAGTAAAAAACAACAAAAACAATAATAATATATTGCTATCGATTATATTGGTTATTGTACTTCTTATCATTTGTTTTTGGTTTTTTATTTTATTTTTTTTTTATAGACAAAAATAAAAAATAAATTTTGTTTTTTAAGAATATATTTCGTTTGTATATTTTGTTTATTATATTGAAAAAAAATGTTTGATTTTTATCATTTTGATTTATTTTATATTTTTTGATCCATGCTCGAGGGTCTAAAGAAGATGAGTCTTATTTTTTCTTCTCAATTCTTTTGTTTTGATATTTTTTAAAGAAAAGATTTGATTATTTTTCTCTCTTTGTATTTTTTTCCACAATAGCTAAGTTGTTGCGCTCTAATAGAATATAGTTCTTTTAAATTATTTTACTCTTAAACAATAAGACAAATATCCTTAAGGGGAAAACACGTTCACTATCGATTCATTTACTATACATTCGTTATGGTTTGATGAAAAAAACAAAATCCCGATTTTAATTTCATCATATTGTTTTCTTGCATGATTTTGAGATAATAATCATAATAATAAAAGAAACAAAACAAAACAAAAAAAGGGAACGTATTGTGGATTAAAAATATATACATAGATACATGCACAATAGTATGAATGCTTATCCACTACAAGTGTAGAAGAGAAAAAAAAAAAGAAATCAGGATCACGATTATAATTGGTGGGAAGAGAGAAAAGAGAAGGAGGGAAAAATTTTCTTTTTTTGTAAAAAATTCCAGATACGAGAGTCGTCTATGTGTTGTTTTTCTGTATTTGGCTCGTTTCATTTCTTTTTCATCCGAATATAGAAGAAAAGTGTGAACTTTTGTCAATGTCGACAATATTTTATTTTTTTTTTTTTTTTACATATTAAAAAATAGTTACTCACCTATTAGACTGTTCATTTTATTTAATATCATTTTTATTTTCTTAGTTTTAACAAGTACTGGATAAACTTGTTAGAATACGTTTCATATTTCAACATCGTACATTAAGTTTGGGATAGAAAACAAAAAAAAAAAAATGATTAAATTGAATTTTGATAATAAAGTATTTGTATATAAGATTTCATTTTCGATAGTCTAATCGAGGTGTGTATTTGTTTTTGAAATATTTTTGTGAAAATTTCAAAAAAAGAATTAGTAAGTAAAGTATGTATTAGAAAATCGATGAATTTTCACTAATTTCTATCTAGTATTAACAAGAGGATAAAAAGTGGTACACACTCTTAAATTTAAACTTGTATGTGAAGTATAATTTCCTCTCTTTTTCCTCTAGGCAATTTTAGTATATTTGTTCGGGATATTTTTTATTTTTTTTTTTGCATGAGAAGATGTTCTCAAGATTACTATTCTTATTTTGTTTACATTGTTTTGTGTTTCTATGCGTCGTTTTTATTATATATTTATAATAATAATAAATTTTTACAAAGAATAAACCATATCTATTATTTATTACTTTTTTATTTTTAAAAAAAAAATTTTTTTTTAAAATTAATAATATAATCAGAAAAATCTGACTTTTCACTTGTCAATTCTTAAGTTCTATAATCCTTTATTAAATGAGTTTCATATTTATATCTTTATCGCGTATCTATCTTTCACTTGTTTAACAGTTCTCTTGGTCAAAACAGAAATGTGATGATAACTTTTAACGCATTATTATTAGTATAATTATGCACTAATGAAATGAGATGTTAAAGATAGAAGTTAGAATGACATAACCAGAATTGTATCTATAATAGTTACACTCAACTATCATCACTCTAGCAAGACATCATTTTTATCATATTATAGATCATTAATAAACTTACACAATAGAGAGAGAAGAATCGGATATTTCTTCTTCTTCTTCTTCTTCATCTTTTTTTTTCTTCTTCTCCTTGTTGTTAAATGTAAAACCCAATCAGTCATTATTCAAATGAGAGTCTAATCAAAGAAATATAAAAAAAAAAAATAGAGTTATCGTTATATTCAAAGGGAACAGAGAAAAATAGAGAAAATTCATTGACTATTCAAAAGATTACACATGATTTGTTGTTGAAAAATGGTTTTATTCGTTTCAGATAACATATATCATCTAGAAACATTTTTACCAACTAGGTATGTTTGTATTATTATTAATTCTAAACAAGTGAGATGCAGAACTAAAGGAAGTTTTGTTTTTTATTCATAAAGATTAAAAAAATAATCAAATTTTATTTTAGGATTATGAGTCTGTATCTAATCTACGAATAATGAGTGATTCGTCTAATATTATTGAATTGAATATTGGGGGTGTTACATATTCAACACTCCAATCAACATTACAATCTGAACCTGGATCTTTATTAGCTAACCTAGTTGGACAACAGCAAAATCATCATTCAAATAATGTATCAACGGATATTGATAACAAAATCACACGTGATAATAAAAATCGTTATTTTATTGATCGTGATGGAGTGTTATTTCGATATGTATTAGATTATTTGCGTTGTAAAAAACTTGTTTTACCTGAAAGTTTTCAAGAGAAAGAACGTTTAAAAAACGAAGCAGAATATTATAAATTAACAAGTATGGTTAAAGAATTAGTTATTCATCAACAACTTGAACAAACAACAAATACGACAATAAATTCAAATGAAAATAAAAAATTGGCCGCTTCTTTCATCTCATTACCGGATTCACCAGTCAATAAGCAATCACGTTCAGTAAATGGTTATATTGTCGTTGGATATAGAGGCACATTTGGTATGTTATTGGATTTTTATCATATTCTAATCTATATTAACAAAAAATTTTTATGTACATTTTTAGCATTTGGTCGTGATGGTTTAGCCGATGTTAAATTTAGAAAAATTTCGCGTATATTAGTCTGTGGACGAGTAAATTTATGTCGTGAAGTTTTTGGAGATACGTTGAATGAAAGTCGAGATCCGGATCATGGTATGTTAACATCAATAATTATTTAATTTATCACTATATACTACTATTCAGTATGAATGTTTCCATTTAGGTCAGACAGAACGATATACTTCAAGATTTTTTCTTAAACATACATTTCTTGAACAAGCATTCGATATGCTCGGTGACGCTGGTTTTACGATGGTAAATTAACTTAAATATTATCATACTATTATGAAATATTTATGTTTTCTTTATTCAGGTTGGCTGTGCAGCATCAGGATGTAGTAGTTCTACCGAACCTGGAAAACAAACGGACAATGAAGAAAACCGTTGGTTACATTATAATGAGTTTGCATTTCAAAGAGGACAATAGAATAATATTGTCGAGACTAGCACATTCTTTATCATTGACCTATATATGATATAGGATGTCAGTTATATTTATCCTAGTTGTATTAAAGTATTCTTTACTCATATGAACATTTTTTTTTTTTCTATTTCATATTTTTTCTCAGTTGTGTTTCAATAATAATGCTTCGAGTTACTTTGTTCTCTATTTTATTTTTTGCTGCTAATATTGCTTTAATAAATATTGCATAATATTTTTAGACACTGGTCCTAAAAATACTCATAGTATTTATCAAATTTCTGAATAAAAAGATATATTAGTAAAATCGTCATAAAGCTGAAATTTATTTTTTCAGATTTGTGTCATGCTCTTCTTTTAAATCAGATGTCTGTACGTTTAGTATTAGAAATGAAGTTATTTCTCCCGATATTAATTGTTAAAATTTAGTCTTGTTTGTCAGTTTCATATAGTAAGTGTACGAAGAAAATCCGGCAGATCAATATTATTTGTAAAATAACAGAATAGATAATAAATATGAAACTCAATACTTGTTAGCCTTTTGGGTAGTGACGAGAGCAACTAGTTGAAATGATAGTTAATTATGCCAGTAGTGTTGATTAGAACCTATACCCAAGATATCAGTAGAGGGGATTGAAACAACAGTGACAAAGAAGAATATATATAAGAACACGTCGAGAGAACATAAGAATCTCAATTAATATGTTGACTGATTTTGTAAGAGTAAACTGCTACAAGTGTTATAGTATATGAACAATATACACAACAGTTTAGATACTGGAAACATTTCGAAAAACTGTTATAATATATTGTGTGAACTGGCTATACCTGATGAGATAAAGAGCAATATATTCTAGCAATGGCGAGTTATTTGTGGAACTCATCATAAATGATTCTAATTACGGGTGCTAAAACGGGAACGATCTTTGATAATAAACGCAAACAATCGATTCTAAACATATTAAATTTCATACACATTTAAGTTCTATGCTATTTTTAAAAACCATATAAAAGAATAAGTGGGCTATAAATTCATAAAGTCAGTTTCATAGGAAAAGAACATTTCACATATAATTCAAACAAGATCTTGAAATGAATTCATAGTTCTGCAAACGAAAAAAACTAATAAACCAGAAATGGATTTATACTGGTTGGTGTTTTTATCACATTACTCAGACGATTATTTCCTCTTCCGAACAAAACCCTCTTACACAATGTAAAATGAAGATAAATCATTTCAAATGTAAATTAACAACTTCCATCTGTGATCATTTAACAGTGTTATCTTCATTTTTGAGTAAGACTGTTATCGCCGCTGACTCATTCATACCAAAGGATAACATAAATGCGCAGAGAATACATTAATATCTGGAAATCAGCCTCGCCTATAGTGATAAACACTTAAGTTAACACAAAGGTGAGTGTGATACTATTTTCTCTGTTTTATGCTTATTGTAGTGTTTATTTTAAACAAATAGAAACACTTTTTATCGAAAATATAAACTACTGTAAGCAATAAAAAAAAGCCGCAATACTATATGGAAAAGGCCCTAATGAAAATAGTTATCAATGAGATTGTAGATAAAACATAGAGCACTTTGGGCTAAACAGAGACCTTTCGAAATTTTCGTCGTATTTTTTTGAGTTCTCAGCTGTTTCTGATCAGAAAAACTTGCTAGTGAACATGATGATAGATCGAACATACTAATGCAAAAATTTTCTCACAATTTCCGCTAGTTTTCTACAACACATTCAAATTTCGAAGAGTCCCATTCGTGTCTTTTTAAACCCAAAATGGACAAAGAAAATGTTGAGTACAACTGATCGTGTGTTAATCAACTAATGAGGTTAAATAATAATAAGTTGTACATCAGAATTTCATGTAGGTGAATGAATTGTCTCTTCCACCTCATTGAGAGATAAAACGAGACATTCGAGTGAGACTGTTCCTATTTTAAATCTAGCTCGAAAACTGCATCGGTTTGTGGAGAACTGGTCAATCTATCACTATGTTCACTAGCGAAGATTTGGTGGAATTTGAGATAGTCTTTGTGCCGAGCATATAAAGAAATCAACACATAATTAGAAAGCTCTTTCAAATGTCTACAAACTGATGTATTCAGTCATGATGTATTATGTTTGATCACAACAATTTCACAGCAATAAAACAGTTAAACATACAGTAGACTCCAAAAATTATTCGTTCACCTTTCTTTTTCATTTTTCTCGTCGACCATAGTAGTTAGAACAAATTTGAAAAAAGATTTGTACAGCTGAAAGAATTTTCGATCTGATGACATATATATAAAGATTCTATCGAAACTCCCGAAATCAGGGTCTCTAGAAAACCCAAATCTCAGAAAATCAAATCCCCTCGTTTGATCCAGAAATTCGTCCAGTAGTGCAAATCTTTTTTCAAATTTGTTCTAACTACTAGGGTCGACGAGAAAACTGAAAAAGAAAGGATGAATAATTTTTTGGACCCACTATATGTTTAACTTTTTTATTCCTGTGAAATCCTTGTGATCGAACATAATACATCATAAATGAATACATCAGTTTGTAGAGATTTGAAAGAGCTTTAAAACAGGCTATTTTAGAAAAATGGGTTTTTCGTTTTTATGAAAAAAGTTAGCTTAAATGATCTACAGGTCGCAGTTTTCTCTAGTTATACACAGTATATTGAACTTAACGACCTTTAGCAAATCAATGAAGATACCGTGAATACATCAGTTTGTAGAGACTTGAAAGAGCTTTCTAATTATGCGTTTATTTCTTTATATGCTCCCATAGTGCCAGAGAAAAGCGCATAAGAAGGTTTTTAATGGTGCTCTGTAATGCCAGCTTTCAAGTGAATATCTGATCTGGATGGAACAGCTATAGCCGCTCGAAAGCACCTAAAATCAAATGTTCGTAGTTTTTCGCTTCTCATAGGACCATTCTGAGCAAAAGGAAAAGTGAGTCGATTACCTTGTACGCATCCGTCCTTTAAGGTGTCGGAAATTCGAGACTTGAGCACCATTTTCTTTTCTCTATATTTTTACATGGTTGGATAGAGCTCATCGTCTTATTTACTTCATTAAAACCGCCATTAAACGAGCTTTTCTTGTCTTTTGCTTTGCCACTGAGAAAATTCTTTTTCCTAGAACGAAAAAATCGGAATTTTGCTCGTAGTTCTCAGTTTTCTCCATCAGAACTCATCCTTCGTGCCGTACAAATATCATAGTCGGAATCAACATCAAAAACTGAATCGAACGATGTACTTTTTTTTCTATCCGACCATCTTATGTCGAAAAATGATTGAGATTTTCACCAAAAAATGAAAATCAATGATAAATTTCGAAAGATAGATCACTAGACTTAGTTTTTGATGCTGGTTTCAAATATGATATTTGTATTGGATAAAATTTGAGTTAAAATAGTTTTGGAGAGTTGGAAGCATGAAAAAGAAAGAAATTTGAATTTTTTCGAAACTAAAGGGTCTCTCGAAGTTTTAGACTCGTCAATTTTTTTCAATTTTTCTTGCTTAAAAATTTCTTTTAAAAATTAAAAATCACTTTTTTTAAAATGGTGAAGTCCAGCAAAGTTTGTGCGAAGTAGATGCTAATATCATACAGCTAGTACAAAGCCGGACTGAAAACATGAAAAATGGTGAAAACCCATTACACTGAAGACTTATTTTTTTGAAAGTTTCTTAGCATAGAAAGTAAACGATTTCTCGGCTATGGTAAATCGGAATAAAAATTTGTTTTTTTATGAATAGGTCGATATTTTTATTCTCAAGATCTTTTTTTAATCCGAAGGTTCTTCTATGCTAACAAAAAAAATAAATTTCAACATCACTATTGGCTTTTCGCCTGTTTTCTAGTATGAGCTTTTCCACTATTTTGAAAGAGATACAAAATTTCTTTTTATAGGAAGAGATAGACAAGATCTTGAACTTTATAACAAAATAAAAATCACAAATCGCCTTAAAGTATTAACAAATGTTCGTGTAAGAGAGTGAGCTGACTATAAAAAAATTCACCTTATCTCGTGTATCAAGACGATTAGTCGATACTAATATGATGATATTCACTTTTGATTTTAAGTCATCCTCGAAGAAAAGTTAAAACGTATAAGAACAGATATGACATCCGAAATCTAATCAACCGTTTCATTAAATAATTAAGTGTTCTTAAACTGTAAATTTTGAGTCAACTACTCATAAGAAGAAAGTATCACTTTCAGTAGCAAAAGCTTTGAATAATAATTTTTTCCAATATCCAGCGGTCCCAGTGGCAAAACTCCTTCGGTTACTTGTAGCGCCAAGATCCGAGGATGTAAAATCATTTTAATGTTTCCTGTCTAACAATGTTTCGTTGATGTATCATTATGGATTTGATTGTACTTTCTTTTCAAAAATTCCACTGTAACTGATTTTCATAACAAACGTAATATGAATGAGTAGCTAAATACAAGAAAAAGACTCAATATATAATAACTACATACTATTGGTCCTTCGCTTACAAGTTGTGAATGACGTTTGATGTGAACCACTTCTTTTTCCTTTTGTAATGTTATCGGTTCTACCTAAACAGTATAATCATAACTAAAACCGCTATTGATCCATTTGTAAACAACGAAATTCTTTTTGTTGTAGATAAACTAAAATTTTCCTGTTGTCCGCTTGTCTCGAACGATATCATTTCAAGTTTTTTAACTCTATAAAAAAGCCATTCCTACTTCGTTTGAACCTACCTGGATTCTATAAAGACATTGAAACATATGTCATTATCATAATTATAATAATCTCTCGCTCTCTTAGCTAGTAAAATCGACCTTGTGGTTATTCATACGATGGAGGTTGAGCAATAGAATCCGTAGATACAATTCAGGTATTGACTAAGGCAAATTACAAACCATTATTTCTCCCAGCGAATGATAACGAGTAACCATTATTAATGCGGTTACAATCAGAACACACTTAACCGTCGCATTCCCATCCTTGATTTGCTCGATTGGTTTCTGAAGTTCAATTATAGAAATACTTTGGTTTTAACGTTTTTTACTCGATCATAATAGCCAAAACAAATCCGAAAAGTGATTTCAATAGTTGAAAGTGTTTTCATTCATTATACGAAAGATCCCAGTTCACAAAAATCAACAAGAAAACAAAAATGGCTTAGGGATCTTTCGTATGATGAATGAAAACTCCTGATCGAAAACCCTTTCAACTATCTTGAAATCACTTTTCGGATTTGTTTTGGCCATTATGATCGAGTAAAAAACGTTAAAATCAAAGTGTTTGTATAATTTTAGATAGGACTGTATTATTATCCAATTAACGTTAATGCTAAAACTGTGACAGTTTAGAATATTGATTGATGTTTTGTCTTGTCACCTATAAAAAAACATCTCTCTAATGAAAATAGTCATCCTTAATAGGTTACTGTTTACATGTATGGCATAAATTAATCATATTTAATAGTATATGATCGGTTAATTTAACAAGACATGATTGATTCATATGTTTTAATTAGATGAGTAAAATTTAATGTAATTATAAACTCATTTTATTTTATTTTTATGTATGCTGATGTGTTTTAAATTTTATTTTTCAACGGTATAGATGAAAGCAAAATAACAACAAAAAAAGCCTGAACACTTTTACATTTTCAACAAGAGAAAAATATAATGTTGACAATAACATTATTTTGTACTTTTCTCATCCCTATGGTTATCATTATCACTATTAATTTGTTTAAAATCTTAATTTTTGAAAAAACCATTTGTGTTTGCCAGTTTTGTATCTAAACAACAGAAAAAATCTGTTGAATAGTTAATAGAACGAAATGATTTTACTGTACCTTTCTTCAAATTTCTCTTTAGCATCACGACGTGCTTTTTGTTTCAATGCTGGATCACGAAATATATCTTTATTAATAAGACTTTTTTCAAAATTAATATCGACGGTATAACTAGAAAATAAAGAAAAAGAAACGTTAATAGATTGAATATTACAATAGTATAACATTATCTTTACCGAGTTGCCATTAGATGATTGTAATTGAATAATTTAATAAATGGTTTAACTTTTGATCGTTTAGCTTGCTTCTTTTTACCCATTTTTTTTGTTATTTTTCTTGGATATCTATCAATTCCAGCAACAAGTGCATGGCCATAACCACGATCATTACTACCTTCATCATGTGACTAAATAAGAAAATATTTCAATAATATGTATAAATTTAAAGGCTTTGATTTACTAACAAACCTTTACAACAACGCCTTTTCGACCAGCGTAACGTCCTCCCAATATAATAACAACTTTGTTTGGTTTCATTATTTTAACCATCTTTAGAGATTGTTTTGTTTAGTTTATATCTAAAACAACAATTTCAAATTTTTATAATTTAACATAAAGTCGTTTCTATCATCTTCAGTACGAACATATAATTTTAAAGTAAACTAACCTTTCTTAGAACTATTTGAGAAAACCTTACAGACATGATTAATAGGTTTTTATTTATTGGAGAATTTATAACACATTTTAATTACAGCAAACATTCTTATCGCTATTAGACCTACTCACGTTCTATCATTCGAACAGAAAAAATTTTCCCTTTTAAAAAATGCTTATTATTTTCAACAATAAACTTATTTTAAAATCAAACGGGGTAACCATAATTTGTAAATATCTTGCAAATATTATCTGTAACCATAATTTCCGTATACTGTGTCATGCACGTCTATGTTTTTTGTAGCTGCCGTAAACAGAAATATTTTTAGCAAATAAAACTCTCCGAAATACTCATCGTTACTGTGTCGTGCGTTGCAAACGATCTTTTTTAAGAAGGAGAAAGGATACAGTTGATTTAAAATTTCAAGTGACTAGCTTTCTATTATAGGGCAAAATAGAGATTTATAAGGCGCATCTGACTATATGCTTTTTAAATAACAAGATTTCTTAACAAATTTTCGATGAATTTTTGGTTGGGGTCTCCTAAAAGCGATTTCAAAAAAAATTGTTTTTCTTTAAAACAATTGGATAACACATGAATCTAATTTTGTCTGCTAGAATCTGTTTCTCAAAACAACTTAAGTTTTAAAACAGGAAATTATACCTAAGTTTTTTTTGAGAAACAGGATCCTGATTTCAACTATGCTTTCATATCCCATTCAAGTGGTATAGGAAGTGGGAAAAATACAAAAGAAGCAGGATACCTCAGTGCTGAACACTGGCGGATTTAGAATTTTTTTAAGGTACATGCGGTAGGCAAAGAAGGTATGAAGTGCGTTTGGTCGCCATAGAAACACAAGTTTTTGAGTCAGTTTTGCTGCGCGATCGCTCGCTGGCTACATCCGCCAGTAGTGCTGAAAACCCATTTTTCCTCAATGTTTACACTCCTACACTCGCAATCCACCGTTTTTCTGCAGTTTCGGTTTTGCGAGAAGCGTTGCTAATGGAGAAGTAGTTTTTTTGCTGATCATGATCTTTAAAACAAGCCAAGATATTATTTAGTTTTTCAAACGGGTCTCGATCTCCTTATTAGAATTACACAATCGTGTTGTAAATGTACGATCATGTCTCATATTCAATGGTAAAATGCGTTTGTCAAAAATTAGAAGGGCATTGAAAAAAGATTTTTTATTACATAAGTATTACATAGGTACCCAGTGCCCAAACATTTTAGTTTCACAAGAACCACACAGCGCCAAGTCTTAACAACCATATAGTCAGATGCAACTTATAAATCTCTATCTTATCCTAGAATAGAAAGCTAATCACTTGAAATTTTAAAAATCGGCGATATTCTTCCTTAAGTGGTTTCTCTTACGAGTTTGCTAAGAATAGATCGTTCAGCTTAATACTATTTGGGTCGCTTTTATTTGTTTGAACGTCTATTTGCTGTATATTATTCTTTTTTCTTTCTAGAGATGTATGGTAAACTGAAAAAAAGCTATTGGTTGGAAACATTGCTGTATACAGCACCAATGACTCCTGTACAAAGCTCCATCACAAAGAATAGTTGCCGTGAAAAGACAATACTAATTTTAACTGGAGTGCTAAAAGATGATCTAAAAACGCAGTTTTGCTTCGAAAGCTGGATGTTATGAGCTACATGTTGTATCGGATGATGTTTGACGGAATGAAATCGTAACCACTTTTGAATGGTTATAGAACTGTCCTATTGTTGATCAAGGAGCCATAGGTGTATCAGAATGCTGCATAGTTGTTTAATCTGATTAAGATGATAATCTACTGAGAATTTGCCCTTGTGAGAATAAATGCATCCTACTTGGGTCATATCAAATTATTCAATCTTATCATTCCTTATTCTTTGGAATTTTTTATTTAAAACTTCCTATTATTTGCTCTTAGTGTTCATCAAAAAGGCATTAAAACCCCCCTGTGCTTCTTTGGTCAAAAAAGAAAAATTTTTAAACTTGTGATTGATCAATCTACTATGTTGCATAGAAGGTTAATCTACTGAAAAATTCCTTAGTCCATCTTTACCATTTAATCCACTACCAATGATCCACAACTTTTTTGTACAATACCAAAAAAGTCATACTAAATTCGTGGTAAAGTCACAGTAAAAATATTTTGGCCATGTCACATTTTTTGTTGAGTTGAGCTGAAGCTCGTTTCACGAGAAAACTGAAGTCCGACTTATCTTTAATTTAGATGTTGATTTCTTTCTTGATGTTCTTCGCACTTTTGTTTTTAACTATTCCTCTATCTCTTCTAACCTCCTGTTATGTGCTGATCTTAATCTTAATTTTCATGTGTCTTCCGAAATGTACAATGTTCAAAGTCTCTTTAGTTCTTTTCTGTGTTCTCTTGTTGATTTTTCTGCCACTACTACTTCAAATACGTGTATTGACTATACCTGGCTGTCCACATTTGGACTGAGCACGTAAACGATGCCATTCGTAGATTCGTCCCACTGGTGCCAGTTCGTACTCTATCTTCTGTTCTCTCGCCTTCTCCAAAGCTTGCACATCTTATCTCTATCCGTAACCAGCGTTTTCGTAAACTTAAACGCCGTTATACTTCTCTTAACCTTGCTGAGTTCCGTAAAGCAAGAAATCTTGTTCTTTCCCTCTATCGACGTGAAAAATCTTCTTACTTCCGATCTCTCTCTTCTTTATTTTCTGATCCTCGCAAGTTTTGGAGCTCTATCAAGAAACTATCCTCTTCTCACTCCACTGTACCTCAGTCTCTGTCTCTAGGCTCGAAATCTGTTTCCACAGATGCGGATAAAGCTGAGCTCTTCAATTCTCATTTTTCCTCTTGTTATCCTTCTACCACTCCAGACTTGCCAACGATGGATAAACACCTCGACTTTTCCATACGGGATGTTGAGCGTTTACTTCAGAAATTGGATAAAAAGTCTACTGTTGGTATTGGTGGAATTCCTTCTTCCTTTCTCTCTTCTTGTGCTGACATTCTCTCACCTCACCTTCGCTTCATTTTTCATCTGTGTCTTTCTACTAGCAATTTTCCAACTTTATGGAAAGCTGCATTCATTGTACCGGTTCATAAAAAAGGCGCTCTTGCCGATATTTCTAACTATCGCCCTATTTCACTTCTTCCTGTTGTTTCTAAAGTGTTTGAACGTCTAACTTATAATTTTATTTTTTCTCATCTTTCGAAACACTCTTTTTTTGTAAACAAACAGTTCGGTTTTCGTCCTAAACATTCTACTCTGGATGCTTTGTTGTTTTTATCTTCAACCGTCTTTAAATTTTGGAATGCTGGTGTAAAGTGTGTTGGTGTGTCTTTTGATTTTTCTAAAGCATTTGACTCTGTTCCTCATTCTCTCTTGTTAGAAAAATTATCTCGTTGTGGTGTGCGTGATTCTTTGTTGTCTCTTCCATCTTCTTATCTTTCGAACCGTTCTCAGTGTGTGCGTGTGAATGATGCTGTCTCTTCTTCTCCTGTTCCTTCTGGTGTTGCTCAAGGCAGTGTGCTTGGTCCTCTTTTATTTCTTATTTTTATTAATGATCTACCTCTGTCGCTCCCACCTAATTGTGAAATCTGTCTCTTTGCTGATGATGTTTTTTTGATTGTTCCTCTTTCCCCTACTGATTCTTCTAATTTTTCTCATGTTCAAAACTGTATAACCTCTGTTTCTCATTGGTTTTCTTCCAATCTCATGTCTCTAAACGTTTCTAAATGTGATTGGCTTCCTTTTTCTTTCCATCTCTTTCCGTATGTTTATAATCAATTGTATCTCAATGGTGTTCCTCTCTCTGTTGTGTCTTCTGTTCGTTGTCTTGGTGTTCTTGTTTCGCACGATCTTAGGTGGAATGGTCATGCCAAGGACATTGCTCTTGCTTGTCGGCGCAAGCTTGGAGCATTGAATCGTGTCTTTGGATTAGCTCCAACTGAAGTTCGGCTTCGTATCTATCTTTCGTCTAATCTTGCTAAAATTGACTATTGCTGTACCTTGTATGATAGTTCGTTTTCTCTTACTGTTCTTGATTCTGTAAACAAACTTGCTTCTCGTATTATTTCTCGCAATTTGACTGTCGTTCTTCTAGTTCCCTACTTGTATCTCAACTTTCTCTTTCTAAACTCTCTCTTCGTCGTAAATACTTTAGACTTCTACAGTTTTTCAAAATTTATCATCGTCTAAGTCCTGTTTCTCTTTTTTATACTATTCGTCGTCCTCACTACTCATCTTTACGTCTTCATCACTCTAAATATGTTCGCATTCCATCTTCTGTTGATGGTTTTTCTCCGCAAACGGTGCATGCTTCTTTTTTTTATTCAACTATTGTTGATTGGAAGAGTCAGTTATTGTCTTTCTTCTTTAACGTCTTTCAAAACAGCTTTACTTCAGTATCTCTTCCAGTGAAACATGTCAGTTATGAATTTATATTTGTTCTTTTATTCTTATTTTCTTTTAAAAAAAAACTTTTTTACTTTCTTTTTTTTTCCTTTTTACTACTTTTGGTCCTAACGTTAGTTGTCTTGTTTATTCTGTTCTTTTTTTACTCTTTTGATGTTGCTTGGCTTGAACCATTGTTATTAGAGGTCGATGATCTTTGATGACTCACACTTTTCGTGAATACAACAGTCTTAGTCTTAGATTTTGCCTTAGGTCCTCCACTTAAGTCAGACGGTTTTTTCGTGAAACGAGCTCCTGCTTTAACTTTAAACGTCTTTGCTGTGGTATTCGGGAAAACATTGCATTAAATGGTTTTACAGTTTGTTCCACAGTTTTATTCTCTCGATAAATAAAGTTAAGGATAAAGCTAACGCATTGTAGTTCATATACTAACGCTTTATTTTACCATGACTTTCTTTTTTTCTCCATGCCGCTTTTTCTATAACTTCATTGTTTTAATAAATTGTACTGAACAAATTTTAGAAAGTTGCCTTATGGTTGTTTGTATTAAGATTTTTTTTTTAGTATTTCTATAGCATTTCGTTTTTATATATTCTATTCAACAAGTAAGGGAACGCTTTCGCTAATTGTAAGAACGTTCCAAATTAGACTAGCTGGATGATCCAGCCATCGTCAAGTTGAATAATCGAAATGTATGAGAAATGCAAACTGTTCATTAAGAAAAACAGTTTCTCCGTTTAGATATATGAAGAAAATAAAGATATAAAGATAAAACTAGAGAATGAGCACTGATTGTACACTACGGGCGCCCGCTTAACAGTAGCACCTCGGAATGTTTATTTCCCTTTCCAAAATTATCAGAAACAATGCACTACCAACGGATAAAATGTGCCATATATTGGCTTTACCGTTTTTGGTCACGTACAAATGTCATATGCAAAGTTATTTTCTCTTGAAGAATGCAACAGGAAAAACATAGGATGATGTAACATTTCCATTGTGGTACTTAAGACAGGCAACGGGAAAAATGTGATATTCCTCTCACCCCGCTGGCTAATTTTAATTATTGAAATCATTGATATCACGCGAAATGTGTTTTTGGCATGTATTCAAATGTGGTTTCACCACAGAACAACAGTTAGTCACCATATATAAAGTCATTTTGTTACGATCTCATGACCAACATTTATCCAACTGAAAGCCAGTCGCTTTTTCGACTTATTTCATCAGCCAAAATAGTAACTGAGTTGCGAACGTACATAGCCTTGATAGGTCGTTTTCATCGGACTACGTGTATCAAAGACTTTTATGACTGTACACATCAGTATGCTTTAACTGTTGCTATTTAACTAAAAATACTTTTGATAAGAAAACGTACTGAGAGAAACTACTGTTTCAATTTGTCGGAAAATGAAACACCAACAACATAATTAGCTATTTTCTCTATTCACTCGCTTACTAAAGTCTTGATGTACATTTAATTCAAAGAAAACCACAGATTTTATTTTTTTTTAAACACATGAAAGGTAACCTTTTACATATTTTATTTTCCCAAATGGCTCAGCACATGCAAAAAGATAGAAGAAAATAAAACATGTTTTCTTTTAATTTCGTCTAGCAGAAAAACAGAAAAACAGTCCCTACGTATTCAGGGAGGATGTGATTAATAAATGATTACACTTGATCATCTGAAGAAGTTTAAAAAAATTGATCAGATGATGGAATATTAATGAGCACTTTTAAAGAAAGCACCATTCACATTTATCACCTTGAAAAAAAATATTTTCTCTAACCAGAAAAAGAAAGATCGCTTTAATCGAAAGTCTATTGTTCACAGAAACAAGCATACAGCTCTTCAAGTTCTTTTTATTAGAGTAACAGAAAAATATTATAGTAAGTAATAGAAACAGTATTTTCAATATTCGATAAATTAGTGTTAATTCTTTGATTTTTCATTAATTTTTTTCGAGCGATTTATTACCTGGTACGAGAAAATTTAAGCATAGTGTTAATAAACAACGGTTGGTTTTATGTTTAGATTATTGAGTGGATGGTCAAGTTGCATCATTTAATTCAGTTTGACTATAGTATGTCAAACATTTCTAATCGTAAAAGTGATTGTCAGAATTTACAGCGAGTGTGCAGTCTAAAAATGCGCGTGCAAATAAATATGAGTAGATCTTTTTGCTAGACGTTGGTGCTTATATATTTTCATATTAATAAAACCTCCTATGTCTAGACTATAACAAGAGGTAAAGATTCTCTGTTTCAGAACATCAAATATGCCTTTCAAGTTCAGTTATCTAGCCAAAACCTTGTTTACTTCCTATTGACGCATACAACCCTGAGTCAGTTGAGCTCTGCTGTTAAATTTGTGGTACAATGTTTTGTCATCGCAGATCAGACTTATGTTACCAGTGCTTTATATAGGGAATCAGTGATTTGATGGTAGCCATTTCAGAGATGGGCGACTCACTTTCTCGAGTCACTTAAAGAATCATCTAGAAGTCTTTCTCCCTAAAAAGCTTCGAGCTACTTTTAGTAGCGTTCGGTTCAGATTTATTTGGGCTATAAAATGATATACCACTATAAATTTTACCGCCTTCACAGATTCGGTCTCTTCCCTGAAAAGCAGCTGACTCGAAAAAATCACTCAAACTTTTCGAAAAGGTCGAGTCAGTTGCTTTTCAGGAACGAGACCGAATCTGTGAAGGCGGTAAAATTCATAGTGGTATATCATTTTATAGCCCCAACAAATCTGAATCGAACGCTACTAAAAGCAGGTCGAAACTTTTTAGGGAGAAAGACTTCCAGATGATTTTTTAAGTGATTCGAGAAAGTGACTCGCTCATCTCTGCCATTGATGATCTTGTTTTATGAATATTTCCGAAATTGCAAATACACTATTACGATCCACGCATGTTTTCATAATTAATTCATGAGTAAATGTTTTCATTTATTTTATGCTTTTGTACAGGTGATCACTACCTTATTTATCATCAGTTCGCGATCATTAAGTAAACGATGCGTGAAAAAATATGTTCAGTTGATCATAGTCATATTGAATACAATTGATTAAAAGTGAATACTTAATGATTTATGTTTATTGTTTAACTGTCTACCGTTCACATGCAAAAACGGGAAAAACAAAAAAAGCCATGTGAATATTTTCTTGTTTATACGCTTCTACAAGATCTAATAAAGAATATTCATTGATGATATTATAGATGATAAACCTCCGTTAGAAGCTGACTAGAGAAATTTCTTATGTAGTGCAATTTATCTTATTTAATAAATTGAAAAGATAATGAAAAATTAGTCTTCAAATAACGTTATTTTTTATATATTTTTTCATTTTATTCTATTATCAATCAACAAAGTGTTGTGAAAAATCAATTTTTCTATAGTCTTTAATTCTAAACGAATTAAAGAATATTTCTTGCATAAGCATGTTGTATTAGTTATTTTATATGAAGCTTTTAAAATACTTATTTTTTTATTTTTTTTATTGTAAAATAGAAGAAATATTTCTGTAGACATGTCTTGCGTTTGCTGTTGACACTATAGTTTGGTTTTAGATGAACTAAACATAATAAAGGAGAGTCTCTAAATATGCGAACTATGCGATTTGGTTATTTATCATGGAGATATATTGCATTAACTGCAACAGTTTTAACAACATCGTCTGTTCAACAAAAGAGACAACAATATAAGACTATACAGTATATTCCACAGAAAGTTTCCTGTCCCTTTGTTGTACATGCAGCACAACATGTAAATAAAAATCGCGTTTAATTTACAGCTAATAAGATCACAATATCGATTATTATTTTTCTAGCAAGCGCGATATCGAAAAATTGAAAATGACGACGATGAATATTCGGATGACAATGAACATAAAGATAATGAGAGCCAGAGAAATGTCGAAGATGTTGAAGATAATCCAACGAGTGAACGTGAACATCGTTTTATGCAATTTGCATCTGTTGAATATAATGGAAATCCGTACATGGTAAAAAAAACTGAACAAATTATGTATTATTTAACATTTTCTAGAATTTTTTTCTGTTTTAGACACCCGTTGACTTTTTAGAATCTATAATTACTGAGAAACCACGACGTATGTCTGTTTTTTGTTTGTTATTATTAAGCGCTAGTTGTCTGTTTTTTTGAAGCACGCATTGGAAGAAGACATTTAAACGATGCGAAAGTAGAGTCACTACTGTATAGCACACCACCGAAACATCGAGGATCAAAGAACTTTTTTCGAAGTTTAGAAGAGTCTGGTATGTATTCATCTTATGTTTCTATCAGGTGTTCTTTACTATGTCTAATTCTGTTTGTATAGGAATCATTTCATTTCCAGAATATTTATTTCTTTGGGTCATTTTGACAAGTACGTTTGAATTGATTTTGATAATGATGTGTCTATATATTTTTAACTTTTTTTTTCAGAGCCCACTGCTCAATTTCAGATTGCATTTGATATGTTTGATACGGACGGTATGTAAGAGACAGAGAGAGAGAGAGAATCAATTGTAATACTTAATAATATTTTCTAGGTAATCATGTGGTGGATAAACAGGAATTTCTCGTGGTAAGTTTTTATTTGAGTATCAGTTATTAATGAATTTTTATTCATCATTCAAAGAAAAGCCGTTCGGTTGATCTTTACTATTTTAACAGAAATTTTTTATGCATCCGTTTATCAGAAAATTTTAATTGTCATTTGCAATGGAATAGTGTTTTCTCGAATATTGTTCATTTCATAAAAAAAATTCAATGCATATTTCTTTGTTGTTATCATTTTCTATACCTATTTTTAAAAAAACATATAGTTGGAGAAAGTAATGAGCGATAAACGAATGCGTCGTCGTAATAATACAAAACGAAAGCCCAAAACAAACAATGACCGAAGTGTAAGACGCTGTCTCATGCTTGTTTTGTTTGTCACATAGTATGAGAGAAAAAAAGAAGTCTGATTTTCATCATATCAGAGATTGCTTTTTTTTAATTTTATTATTTGTGCTAATATAAGATCATGCTTCAGTGATTTGCTGATGTTTTATTTTGTATATAAGTTGTTGTTATGTTGATATTTAATAGAGTGTTGTTTCTTTTATTCAAAAACTTAGTGAGATATAATTCAATTATTATATTGCTGTTCGTGTTATTAGTCTAGTATGTTCGCGTGCATTTTTCAATCTTTAGTTCAAATAAAATTTATAGTGCTCACAGACCGAAAACAATATTCCTTTTTGTTCAGATAAACTAGATGATGTGTGAATGTTATATTAAAAAATAAAATGTAAGAAGGAATAGGACTCACATGCATGCATAATATATTTTTCACTTGTAAATATTGTTCATATTCCCTTAGTTATTTTTACAAATGATAGGATAGTTTTGTCATTCGAGTTTCAATTGTAAGCCCTGTAATCATTTTATTTAATCTTTTTTTTCTCAAATATACAAACTAGAAATAGTAAAAATTGAATGGTATTGTATCTGTGTGAGTCTGTGTACTATTGTTATGTTTGTTTTTATTTTAGCTAACATCATTAGTGCAACGTTTATTTACGCGATCGAAAGGAAAGGATTATAAACCATTAATCAAAGGACTAAATATAGTAGGTACAGTGTGTGAGAAGTGTTTCTATACGACAAGAGATATATTCTTAACTAATATTATTTTCTACTTGAATCTATCCTCTATTATTCAAATCTCTATTCTTGTCTCTTTTTAATACATTAATAAGGCATGTAAATAAGGACGGAACTCAATAAAATACAAACGGTAAGTTCATAATGTGTTGATGGATACATTTAAACACTTAATTGAGACAAAAAGAATTAAATATTAGTAATTATTTTCGGACAAGAATTTTGTTTTTACAGCCTCTTCAGATCTACTATTATCTCGGATGAATTTCTTGTTTTTTGCACATTTTTTTTCACTCTGTACCACTAGTATAATGTTGAAGTATTTGTAAATGTAATAAATATTATTAGATTTTATGTAGAAATTGTTTTGTTATCAAAGGTGCATAGTTCGTTATGCTTACGTCATCAGTAGTGCAGAGGCTAGGCTTAATTGTATAGACCCTTGTTGTACATTTAATCCATATTTACAGACATAAACTAGTTTTAATATTTAGGTTGGTGAAATTGAGCATGTTGATACAACATTATTGCTTCATTTTTTCGGACGAAATGGTCGAGATACCTTGAATTATACAGAATTTAAACGGTAATTAATTCTTTCTTCTATGTTATGTCAAAACTAGGGGTGTTAATTTAGTTTTATTTTTCATTTATAATAATGGATAAAACTAAATGAATCATTTATATTTATTTTCCAAAGTAACACTAAATTAACACCCCTAGTCAAAACGTTAGTTTAATTTTTTTGCAAAAAAATACTCGATTATTTGAAGGCAATTAAGGAGATAATTCCCTCATTTACTCATAGATTTCAGCTAAGAAGATCAAGTAGTAGTTTTAGAGTAGAGTGTGTAGGGTACGAGCTTTTTGTTCCCTGTACCCTACTCTATAGAAAGTTCTCATACCCTGCCCTATCCTACCCTATTAATTTCTACACCCTGCTCCACCCTACCCTGTTGACTTTAGACAGTTTGCACCCTACACCCTACCCTACACCTACTCTCTAAAAGAAAAAGGTACTCTACCGAATCTAAAAAAGATTTAAACTTTTGCCACCATCTATATACCTTTTTAAGGTTTCGTACAAATTATATACCTCATCAGCACCCTAAATCCGTGACTGGGAAAAGCTTAGTTCGACTGAGAGAACACTGCCCATGCAAGGTTTTCCCAGTGATGGCTTTAGGGTGCTGACGAGGTATATAGTTTGTACGAAACCTTAAAAAGGTATATAGATGGTGACAAATGTTTAAACCTTTTCTAGGTTTTGTAGAGTACCTTTTTTTTAGAGAGTACACATAAGAAAGTAGGAGTAAAATAGGGCTCATTCGTTCAGTGATCGACGTTCGTTTTTCTAGCTACAGTTTTATTCAAAAACTCTACATCCACATTCAATAACAACAGGCATAGATCTTCTCTGATGGATAACGAAGTCATGCATAAGAAGCGAATGTCTCTCAATACTAAGCGTTCTTTATCTCACAGGGTACAGTCTATGACAAACGTCTCAACCTGTGCCCTACCTTATAAAAATATTTCGTACCCTTAACCTACCCTACCCTACCATAATAGGACAGGATAGAGTAAGGTGATTCTGCACACCTCTATTTTAGAGGCATCCTTTTTTTTATCAAGAATTTTCCAGTCTTCATATTTCTTCTGCAAGTTTTGGACGTTGTTTAGATTTATGGAATATGTACAAACTGAAATTTTAGAAATTGAATTTAATGCATTTTCACACGGTTTTAAAACAATTTCGGAAGTTGAGTTTGCTGAGATTCTTCTCCGTTATACAAATTTGGCTAGTGATGAAAAAAGACATATCCTAAAAAAAGTTAAAAAATATGTTGGATCATCAGTAAGTATCAAATACTCCTTTTCTATCAACATATGACAATAACTTAGTTGTTTTTCATTTAATTTTAGGGTGTCACACTTGATCAATTTAAACAATTTTCATCATTTTTAAATAATTTAGAAGAATTTAATATTGCTATGAGATTTCATCAACTATCGAATAAAGCCATATCTCAACCAGAATTTCAACGTGCAATTAAAATTAGTACCGGATTAGAACTTGAACCAAATATAGTTGCGTTAATTTTCAAAATTTTTGATGCCGATGACGATCAACATTTGTAAGAAAACAAGATGAATATGAGAAACGTATAGACATTGTACAGTTGATCTCCAAAAAACAAAATGCAACTATCTCGGGTTCTATTCTGCTTATTACAATTAAGCCTTTTTCTCATTTCATTCTTTGTTGGTATCCTTACATGCCGACAAAAATGAACATTTTCGCTTCTTTATTGAAATCTCAATAGGTGGTATTTTATTGCTATAGAAAAAAATCCTTTATTTTCTCTCGAAATTTTTACATTTCAACTGTGTTTTTGTTACTGAATCCTAATAGATAAATTTTATCTTTCAAAATATATACTTGATTTTACGCTAAAACTTACGAATTACTCATTCGTTTCTTTTATAAAACAGCGCAAAAATTGAATGTACAAACAAAATGAGGTTTTGTTTTTGAAAAATTATTATACATTAAAATCGTCCTAGCTTGTTTGCATGTTTGTGGATATATGACATTATATTTCTTTTGTGGTGTTTGTTTTTGAATAGTGTATAACAACGATCTTCTTTGATCAAGCTATGTTCTCTATTCTCACTAAGATACACATGAAGTTAATACTATTTTGAAAAAATTGAAATTTTTTTTCTTTAAGCACGAAGTCAAGTATATATTATTTTCATATACAGTTTGATAACTCCGATTATTTCACTCACTACTCTTTTTGACTTTTGTTTCATAAATGTACGATGATTATACATATCACATGAATATGAGTGAAAGACAATAAATTCAAACATGCTTTTTTTTTTGTTTCAGAAGTTACGATGAATTTATGGCTGTAATGAAAGATAGACTTCATCGAGGATTTCAAGTACATATGTTGACTATTACTTAAATTTTAAAAATAACATTGTTATAAATTTTATTTATAGTCTTCCGATAATCCTGACACTCAGGGAACGAAATTTGATCAATTTAAACGTTGTGTAAAAGAAAAAGCAAAGTAAGTCAGTTACATTTAAGCTACCTATAATATGCACACTATTGTTCACCATAAATGTAGTATTTTTATGAGAAATTAAATCAAAAAATACTGAATTCCAACATGGATAGTTTGTTCTCACATTTGTTCACACGGTATTAACAGGTCTGTCTTGATATACAGTAATTATTATTTCAGAAAATATTGATTGACATTGATCTGCTTATAATTATACAATGAAGCTATTACTAATCATAATCATTTTTATTTAATTAAACATCGACTAATATGTGTGTCTGTGTGTGTGATGTGTGATAATCGCAATGACTACGGATTTGTGCAATTTCAACATATTAATTTATTCGTAAAAAGTTTTAGAAGAACCAATAAATTACAAAACTATACATATCCAGCAACCTAATCGTTGGAGTTGCTGGATATTTAATGAAAAACAAAAGTTTATTTGTAAAACAAATTGTATTATAATCTTTAGTTTTCTTTTCTTTTTATGCGTGTTTTTGTAAACCTCAGAAGTTTCCAGTCTTCGTTTTTTTTTTCTCGTATTAATGTCAATTTTCAAACATTCATTTTAAAACTGTATTTTTAGAGAACAATTATAGAATAAAAAGATGTTCACTGGTAAAGAAAGAGATGATTCTCTACACTATACATGTTTGAGATCATGAGATACATATTATAAAGTGATCTACTTGGATTTTATAGTAAGACTTCGTGATTAAAAACATTTTGAACTATTAGTCTTTTTCGTCATATTAGATTTATTTAAATTCAAGTTTTTCAGTTAAGATGAATTGATACTACTGTATTATCATCAGCTCGATCTTTAATACACTCTCTGTTTCAGTGAGAGTTTCTTGTTTATATATATTTTCTAGTTGAAACATCGATGGTTATTTAATCTGTTTATTCAAATAGTGATGAATAGGTAATTTATAACAAACAATGTATGTGGAACACGTATGTTTAAGAAGAAGAACGACTTATATCTAAAGACAATAGTACTTGATAAATATGACATAGAGCACAGTGAACAGCATCATCAATTTTCTCTAACGCCTTCATATGACAAAAGTAAGAAAATTTTAAAGTTTTTTTATTTAAGGCTGAATGAGGGCACCAAAATTTAATTTTTTTAGTCAGATAAAACGCTTGTACTTAACTATTTGAAAGTAAAACTTTCACATGAAAACAATAGTGGATGATATAATTCATAGCGAATTAACTTGTTTATTTTTGTTTTAGTCTGCAAAATAAAAATGGATTATATACATATGATAGTGTTAGTCAATCACTACCAACAATTGAGATCGAAAGTATAACATTTCCTGGTAAACGTAATTTAACACCGTAATTACTGCTCAACGATTTATTCAGTATATTCAGAGATTATATGATTTCTGCATGTTTACATTATATATACCACATTCACAGCGTTTATTAGATTATTACAATTATTGTTGTGAAAATGGTAAATTTCCATTTACTATGTCTGTATAACGTACATACCATACATGTTTTACCTTTTAGATCAACATTGTTTGACACCAATTCAAACACATTCAGTCAAGAAAATGTTCGTGATTGTATGTTAAATATCAATTTTCAAATTTATGTGATTCATCTGTTCGTATAACACGATTTATGGGAAAAAACCAATGACAATAAATATGTCATATTATTATTATTATTATCATTACATAACACCTACCGACATGTTGTAAGAATGACCAATTCAAGTGATTAATGAAAATGTCATTATCTATTCTCTTTTTGTATGCATTCTATTACTCATAATCAAATTTAATTTTCAACTTTTTCGTTGATTTATTTGTACTTATTTTGTATCGATCTAAAAAATAAATATATATATATAAATGCTCACGTATGTTGTGTATCGTCTTTCTGTTTATTTCTTTTTGTTATCGGCTTCGTTCAGATATTTTTTTTGAAACTGAAGTTTGAATTTTTTAATTTTATAAGCGAATTTGTACATATATTATGGGTTTTTAACATATGTGATTTGCTTAAATCCATGTGCAAAGACAAAACTAGAAACGTCTAGTACATTTTAAAATAAAAATAAATCTTTAATTTATTTTGTGCTGCTTCAGTGGACGATAAATATCTTATAAATCTAGCGCTGCATAACAGAAATCTGTTAAGAGTGAAATGTTCAAGGAATGTTAGTTCTATCAAGATACATTTAAAGTTTGAGCTCGAGTTTTTCCAGAGTTATCTTAGATGCAATGCTCGAAAAGCTTTCGCTTCTGCTTTTAGTGTTACAAAACTTGGGTTGGTCATATAATAACGAGGAAACGACGAGCGCTGCTATATCATAGTAGAGCTCGATTTTTGAAGCTTTTGTTTCTTAACGTTTCTCTATTATTTTGATCCATTCTGAAAAACCATAAGCTAGTTTTTCGAAAATCATTTTTTCTTCAAAATTGAGATGAAAATCAAAAATTGTGTTCTTCGATAGTACCGAGTTTTCTCTTTAGTTTAAGATCAACCTGTACTTTGTATACCTTGAAACAGAGAAAAAATCTTATGGATCATAGTGGCTCCAAGCTAAAAAGCGATTTTGAGACAAATGCAGCAAGCGTTCATTTAGAAAAAGTTACATTTCTTTGGAAGTCGAATCTGAAATAATTTTTATATAAATTTTTTATAAGTTTTTGATCCTGCCGAACTCGATACACTTGTACACGCGTATATGTCGCATAGGTATACATTCTTTTTCTAAATGTATCGCGTTTCTGATCCATATAACTGCCGTTTAGAACTTTCAGAAAATTTGCTGAAAAACTCTGAAAACGTATTTTTGAAGACAAAAAATAAGTGCAATCAAAGAGGAAACTTTGAGTTACCATACCATGTGTAAATCTTAAAATTGATCTTTTGAAATAGAAGATAGGTCATACTTAAACCTCGTCCCTGTGAATTAATAAAATAACCCGATATTTTGATTTTAAAACAGATATTGATAAGTAATGTTATGCTAACAATTGCGGTAGTAGAAAAAATTCTAAGTGATTCTACTTGCACAGTTATTATTTGAAATATTCCTCTCCATTTTAGCTGATAAAAAACGTCGTCATTACAGTATTTATTAAAAACGTTTACTTTTAAACGTTTTCCATCGTATTTATTAATATCTACAGTGTTCATGGCATCGCCGCTATCCAGAGATACATCTAACAGTGTTGATGAAATACATCTGAGAAAACTTGATAGAAATTCCACCGATAAGTTTACAAAGGATATTTTTCGTCAACAAGACAACTATACCTCATTCGTGTCAAACTTAGAAAATGCTGTTCAATTCAATGGTTACAATTTATTTCTAAAATATAAACCCAAATTTCAATTAAGAAATAAACTTCTATTATATGATGCTGTTACTGGATCTCGACATAATTATCAACCGTCCAAAGATGGTAAAATTTTAATGACACGCTGGCTTGAATTTCAACTACCAGAAATGTATGAGAAGAATACTAAAACACAACATCGATATGAATCAAATGTATTTCAATATGAATCAGAAAAGAATACAAATGACAATGAAATTGATGTTGAATGGTATTTAAATTTTGCCCATAACGATTTGTTTTTATATTATGGATCTTCGCTATTGGCACAAGATGAATTGCAAGTATTGGAATGTCTTCAATTAGCATCAATACGAGAATTTTTAGTAGCTGATCCAAGTCACTTTAGTTCATATACCATTGAAAATGGACAACCAAGGCCAATATTAATTAGTAATGTTGAACGTGTTATTAATTTAGATACAGAAAATATTTATGGAAATCGATTTGCACACGCTCCACAGGATGTACTATTCAAGTCATATAAATATCTTAAACCACCATTAATAACAAATATCATTGCTATAGAAGCTCCAAGTGGTGGTCAAGGACACTACGATTTATCGACAATTAGATATGTTATATCAGAATGTTATACAGCTTTTAAAGCAGCCAAATTGTTAGCAATAAAAACGTACGAACTTAATTCAAAGGAATCATTTGATGAAACAAAAACGGTGAAAACAATTATACATACAGGTTAGAATTAAATCTAGAAGCGTTATATGAAATTAATTTTAGTTTACTTCTCTATATGTTTATATCTTTATTTGCAGGTTGGTTCGGTTGCGGAGCTTACGGTGGAAACCATTCGTTAATGTTGATTTTACAATTAATTGGTGCACAATTAGCTGATGTTGATAAAATAGTATTTCATACTGTTTCTCGTGGTTTTGATAATGAAATAGCTAAAGCTGACGAGTATATGACCAAATTATTTGAAGGAAATGATAAAGACAAAATGACTGTGGACGATTTAATAAATAAAATATTTAAAGAAAAATTTGAATGGGGTGAATCAAATGGTACATAATATACCATTATTATTACATATATCATTACAGATTTTAATCGCACCAAAGTGCAATATCTGTTCAACATTCGTGCAGATCTATTGAACTATCTCTCACTAAAATATCTTAAATTTGTCATATATTATTTTCTTTATGGTTTCATTTGATTTTAGGTCTCATTAGTTGTTTACAATAGTTTGAAAATATAGTCAGTAGATATGTACGGAACCATTTTCAATTCCCATTATGATTTCGCAGAAAATTTTACTGAAGTAAATCAAATTTGAAAACAAATCTTTGAAACTTATGGATTCCCAACTGGAATAAAAATTTAAAAACATTTTGAAAAATTAATATTTTAGTTAATTGTTGCTATATTCTTCTCGATTTTGCTGATATTTCTTTCGGAAGAGTAGCCAGATATTCGACTGATCAGATGTATAATTTCTCTTTATAAGAAAAAAATGAAATAATGAATAAAAGATGTATAATTCTTTTATATTTTGTGATCTGAGAGTTTGAAAGAAAATTCTCAAGGAACAAAAGTTTGAGAAAGTGGTTCCGCACATGTCTGTTCATCAAATGAAACTGTGCTGTGTTTTTTTGTTAGTCTGCTTGTTTATCAGTCATATTTATTTTGAAATTAAATCAACGTTTTTCTTCTTCTTCATACATTCCTCTTTTTCTCATTTCATCAAACGAGACAATATATCCATTAGACTATGCACTTTATTGTTGAAACAGAATATCTACTATACACATGTAAACACATAGATGTTTCTAAAACAAAACTAATTTGACGAGACAATAGTTTAATTTTTATAAATTTTTAATTAGTTCATAACGTGTTTTGATTATTTTTGCCATATTCCCATTGTCAGATAAATGTTTTATGTTTTCTTCTAAATCTTTGAGTGCTTGTAATTCTTCTTGAATATCGGATTTTGTTTGATGTAAAAAACGTGAGATATGCATAAATGTTTTTGGTTTTTCAATTAATTTTACTTTGATTTTAACATCAAAACTAACTGGATGAAATGCATTATTGTGCATTAACATTAAATGTGTTTTAAAATTGAAAAAACGTTTTGTTCGATAATTACATGATGGTTGTGAACATAACAGTAATGGAATATGTGTATCCGTTTCTTTTGGACCATGATCAACTTCGTCCATATGTTTAACAAGTAATGTCAATTTTTTAAAATGCATTAAACATTGAACACAATCATGATCACGTTTTATGCTTAATTCTTGAGAACTTGTTACTTGAGCTATTGAATACACATAATCTAGGCCATGTAAGAGATTTGTGTGCAATGCACATGAGGTACAAGTAGTAAAACATTCAAAACAAATTGGACAAACCTAAATCGAAAGAAAAGATAATGATGAACATGAGAAAAGATAAATTTCAGATGAATAAAATAAAAAGAATAGCCGAAAGGGATCGATTTTGAAAAGTAACTTTTTTTATGTTATAATCATGAAAAATATTTCATAATACTTATATGTAAAAAGTACATGGGTAAAAATTTGGAAAATTTTCTGAGTGCACGAATTGTTGTCATATTTCATATGACTGACGGCTTTTATTAACCGAATGGACATATAAAAAGTATTGGTGATACACAACGAGGGAACTCTATCAATTATACTCGTTGAAGATTATCACATGACATCGAGTAGAACAATTGATACCACGGAATAAAATAATCATTTAAGGATTTTTTGATCATATCATCGGAACAAATAAACAAATTTTATTGAGTCATTTGTTTCAAAACTTTTGGAAGTACCCCTGACCAAAAGTAGAAAATCTTCTGGGTTATTGATTGTGCTGAATACGAAAAAGCAGTTTACAGCAACTCAAAACCAACTTTCTTTTTTTTTCCGGTGATATGCAATAATAAAATTAAATACAATTTGCGATCTATTAACTGTTAGTAGGCACCACCCATTTTCTTATGGAGATCGTCATTATATGAGACAGATGATGAAAACACATCCCAAAATATCCTCCTTAGAATGTACTAACAAGGGAACCTCCCCAGGTTGCAAATCGCTTTCGGGCTAAAATCTAGTGGATCAGAGGTAATCAAGGGTGCTGATTCCGGATATAACAATCATTTTGACCGATAGGTCTTCAGAGACCGGATTTCTGGAAAACCATTTTTCAAAACTCCTAAAAAATAACCAAAACGTTTGTTAATGAGGCAGTATTGTAGCCCGCAGATTTCTGATTAAAATGAGGCCTCTCCGAGCTCTACACGATCTTTCTTTGCAAAGCTGTAGAATTTACGAGAATAGCCCTAAATTAATTTCTTCTTATTTCTGTAGCTATGAGCTGACAATGAACATTTAGGGCTTTTCTTGCAAACTCTATAACTTTGTAAAGAAAGATCGTGTAGAGCTCGGAGAGGTCTCATTTTAATCAGAAATCTGCGGGCTACAATACTGCCTCATTAACAAACGTTTTGGTTATTTTTTAGGAGTTTTGAAAAATTGCTTTTCCAGAAATCTGGTCTATGAAGACCTATCGGCCAAAATGATTGTTATATTCGGAATCAGCACCCTTGATCACCTCTGATCCACTAGGTTTTAGCCCGAAAGCGATTTGCAACTTGGGAGGTTCCCTCGCAAGCTGAGTCCTCAGAGAAAAGACCAAAAAGAAAAAAAAAATTTTAGCAGAAAAAGATTCGCATAAGTATGTATATGCATATGCGACACATGTATACATTCGTACCCTATCACATTTCCCATGGACAATGGGCAACCAGGTGGATATTTAGAAAAAAAGTTGAAGTTAACATTTTTCCTTTTTTAGGTTGATCATCGAATTAGATATGGTAGTTATCTTCCTTAGAATGTCACTAGTGAAACAGTGGAAAAATCTGAACTAGCAAACTCGCTTAAATACTTAAAAAATCGCGGAATATAATTTCTTGGAACTTTAACTGTTTGTAAACGTTAAAAATAAAACCAGAAACAATTCTCTGCTCTTTGAGCTGCTCACTAACGAAAACATTATCGGAATTGAACTTAAAGACCCTAAAACAAAAAGTATTTTCTGCGCCAGAAAAAGTTTTCAAAAACTGATTCCTCAGTGTAATGAGATTTCCTCAGTTTCCCTAAACTCTGTCTTGCTCAAACTTTATATATATTCTTCTATCCATACTTCGTTTATGGTTTTGGCGCCAAATAGCGTCGACGTTCCTGGTCTTAGGCATCGCTTTGCAAAACTCTCCTGATTATTAAAGAAAAAGTCATTTTTCTAAGTTCAGAAGCACTTTTAAGAAGAAAAATAGAATCAAATTTGGAATGAGCGCATCGAGTTGCATCGAATCATGTATAACACAATAAGTTTCGGAGCTGACTAAGCAATGATAATTATTGATGAAAAAGGGTTGGCGAGCAAAAATTCTAACATATGCCTACTATTAAAAAAATGTCCTATGTGCCAGGGTCGAAAACCTCTAAGAATATATGGACACGTATATTTTATCTCAGACACTTCAAGAATAATTCACTTTTTTGAAAGTAAAAAGCGTACCACGTTTTTCTCGAAGTATTTGTTCATGTTAACAGCATTTAGAACTTGTCAAAAATCACCGTCAAATCAAGTGCTAGAGAGTTTAGTCTTAACTGAAGCTAAGACTTAACTTCATTGAGTGAGAGAGTTTTGTCTCTTAATTTTGACTTATCTTCACAATGAGAAGAAGATTTCATTTGACCAGGAGCTTTTGACTTTTCCGATCTGTAAAAACTTTGTTTTAGGGAAATTTTGGGGAAGTTCCAGCAGCCCGTTTTCAACCCATATTCGAGAGATATCTCGAGAGCACTAGTTGATATAGTCTACACAATGTTTTTGGTCATATAACTGAATCTTGTGATGTTATTCGAGAACTTATCTCTCTTACATTCTTTAATACAATTGTGACAGCTTAGATGCAAAGTGATATTTTCGAGATCTTTTAAATTCATGCGTGATAGATGATAAATACATTTTATAAAATTTTTGTGTATCAAGGAATATACCGATGTAAAATTTTAACTAGACCATTTTAACTGAAATCCATACCCAATATAAATTAGGACACGATAATTTTAAGTGGAACGAACGTTAGAACTAGAGTTCGCCTTCAAAATGTGTCATAATTAATATTCAAATGGTGTTAAATCAAGAAAACAACAAATTAGAAATTAGTGTAGTATGATCTAATTTGAAAAAATAAAGATACAATCAATAACTTTATTTTAAGATTGACACTGTTAGAGTCCTGGTGAACAGTCCCAAACCCCAACCTGTCTGTCCCGTTGCATAGCACAGATGAGCTCGGAACAAAAATTGGATGGGCTCAAGGATTCGGAATAAGTTGCAAAAAAAAGAATGTTTCGTGAATTTTATCTTTTTGCTTGTAATTGTACTGCAACTTCAACTGTTTAATTCCTGTAATTCATCAAGTCAAAATTATAATTTTGTAATAATGAATAAAAAGTAATCAAAAATGATGAAATAGTTTAAGGTAATTGACACAATCGGTTCATAATTTTTTCTTTTTGATTCTGAGCCAGTAAGTAGGTGTAAAACACATTTTTAAAACAGAACTTTTTAGTTTAGAACCAAATAAGTCAGACTTCAATTTTGTCATAGGGATTTTTCAAAAAATAATTTAAGCTAAAGGGCTGAAGTTCAGCTTATAACAAGTAGTTATACGAAGCAATCCTATCAATGACGCGATTCAGACAAGCACCTCTTGTAACAGTTATGCTTTATCTAAATAGAAAAAAATTCAAAAAATCACGGGACAAAAATCTCGTAAGTTTTTTCACTGAACAGATCGGCTAGGGACAACATTTTTCGTTCACGAGTTCGGGCTTCTGGGACAAGACAAGAATTATTGTGTTTGGGACAACAAAATGGTTTGTCCTGCAGGAGTCTACAACAAATAAAATTATCTTGTCTATCCGAATATGCTATCACCATCTAATGATAAACATAAACAGAATGTTAAAGAAATGAATGCAATATATCAAATATAAACTAGTAGAACAAGCAAAGAATTATTCATTTGCTCTTGACCAATCCCAACTCTCGTATGAAACTGTTTTCCATTTTAACATTTGTTTATCTACTTCAATTAGCGTATATTTTTGGTTTATACTTACAATATAAGAATCTGAATCATTTTCATCATGCTGTTCGTTGGTCAAATACGTGCGACGACAACAATTTGTTAATATTGAGAGTGAATCAGGTTTTCGATATGCCAGATAATCACTGGCTGATAAATGTTCTTCAGTTTCTAAATGTCGAGTCATATTTTCACGTACAGTTCGTGTACAATGACACATATCACACATATACACATGTGCTGGTGATAATTTTCCATTTGGTATTGGAGTAGCTGTTGGATCATCGATAGGAATCAAATTCAATGGACAAGTAACACATGAATGAGTAAAATCTTGTAGGAGATCTGGTTGGTCTGTATCAGAATCATATTGTACGGACGGTGTTGAACTAAATTCTTCAGGTGGAATGGAATAAGGCGTCTTACGATAACGATAATAGTCACATACGTCATTTGTTAATATTCCTAACTTGAACAACAAACATAAACAGATTATCTTTTTTAAACTAAAGTTTTAACATTCTTACTTTTCGTTTCATAACTATTGACGTTTTAGTACTACCAGATTCATAAAAACTTTGAATTAAATCTTTTCGTAAACGTTCTAATTCAACTCGAACATTTGTTGAACCTGTATCACTAGTAATTTGCTCACTTGGTTTTGACATGATAAAATCACGTGTTGTTTGAGGTTGTTGCTGAAAAGTTTGAGGAGGTGGTGGTAATAGCGGATTAGTCGGTGGCATACTAAAGATGAAAATGAAACATCAGTATTTATTGACATAGGTAAACAGAAGTATTTCTTATGAAATGTCTTGTCACAATACTTTCAGGAAAACTACTGAGGGTCATAATTTGAAGAATCAGAAAGAACCAAAGAAACCAGATCTTTATTTTATTGTTACCAAGTTAAAACTTCTTACTTTGCACTTGGCTGCCATCGTGAAACTCTGTAAGTCGAATATTGTTGTTGTTGTTGTTGTGTTGGCGGTGGTGGAGGAAAAGCACCTAGTAAGGGTCCTGTCATTCCATTATACTGCGCTAATGGAGGGGGTACATTCCAGTTCATCGCTTATCTGAAAGAAAATATTGGACAATCAAGTATGATTTGAACATATTGGGTGTGATGAAGCAATAAGATACTTCATAATTTTGAACAAATGTCGCAGAAAAAGAGGAGAAAAAACGGATTGTATTGTTGAGAAATGTAACATATTCCTTATTTCTTGACATTGTGTATAAACAGCTTTCATTCTTAATATTTTTTTCTATATTGTTTATTACATTTTATTCATAAAAAAAGAAACGTATAAAAAATAAAATTCACAAAATTTATTTATCAATGATTTTTAGCATTCGTTTGTTTGATATTTGATTGTAGAACGGTGGTAGCAATTATTGATAAAACCAAAAGACTTTGTGCAATGATATGAGTATGTAAAATGAATATTGATTTTACAACAGAAATGTATGGTAGAATAATCATTAGGAGTAATCGTATCTGTTCAAAACGTATGGAATATTTTCTACAAATAACAAAAAAAAAAGATATGTTTTAAACTTAGAAAAGATTTGTTAAATGCCTACTTTCGGTCATAAATTGCTCCAAAAACAGTCAATGTAAATAACAGCATTATGGAATAAATTAATAAACCGATAACAGAATGAGTCTTAATAAATGAAAACATTAGATGTATGAAGATAAAGAAAAAAATGTTAGATCAGCAAGTTATTGCTGCCTTTTAACTCTGCTTACTCCTCGACTTTTAAGCACCGATGCATATTGTATTAATACATATAAAAAATGTATAAACGTATAATAGGCCACATAATTTGGCAATTCTGGATTATGAACTTTAACGGGATATTCGATCTAAACATCACAAAAGAAAAACAAAAAGAAAAAACGTTAAATTTATGTTTTCTTACTGGTGGAAATTTTCCATCACCTAGTCTAGGTACGCCAGGATACCAACCAGGACCTTTCCAAAATAAAGCGAGTTTATTTCTCCAACCATCAAGTTTAAAAAATTGTTCAAACATATATTGCAAATGACACAACTAAAACAAACACAACTAGTTGAGATTAATATTGACAAAACATATCACGTATACTTGTGTTTTTATAGGATCAAATGTGTTTATTGGATGAACAAGACCGTAAGCAACTGGTTCTTCTCGTCTTTCTTTTTCAAATGTGCCAAATATTCTATCCCAAATAATGAACACTCCGCCATAATTTTTATCAATACAATACTCATTTCGGCCATGATGAACACGATGATGACTTGGCGTATTGACAACTATTCTTTTATTAGCTGGTTGATAACAGAGTATATTAGATAGAAACTTGAATTGATGCATGATATTTGAATAATATCAGAAAATGAATTCAAATGGTCCAAGATGATCAATAACCTAAACAATAATATATACTCGTCACAAATTTATTAGATGTAATTATTAGATGTTTATCATACTTCAGTGTGAATCCAAAATTGGTATAATAAATTCATTTGTGCATGAATCAGAAATATTTGAGGGGGTACGAAAAATGCGAGTGGCAGATAAAACATCTGAAGCACACGACAATTTATCAACTGCTGTGTAAATAAAAATACACATTAATTATACCCATGAAAAATACGGTTGTAGTACACCTTGACGTAATGCCGTTGATAAATTGTAATCTTCTGCTGAATGATGTGTTTGATGTGTAGCCCAAAATAAGTTGACTTCATGTGCCATTCGATGAAACCAATAATATCCAAGATCTATTCCTAGAAATGCAACCCAATATGTGACAGGATGATTCCATGGTAATCTTTTAAATAAACTTTGACGATCATAAATCCAAATATATGCGGATAACTCTATTGACTGTAAGAATAAACTAAAATAAAAAAATACAGCTAAATGAAAAAGAATGAGAGGTGTGTATCAGACCTCACGTAGGAATGCGTGAAACAATTCCCGCTGTAACTGAACTAAATGTATCGTTCAATCGTGGACGATTTTTACCACGATAAATACAAATAAAAAATTCTAATATTTGAAATGTCATGAACAATTCTGTCACCTAAAACAAAATCGAACAAACAAATAAAATGTCAAATAATCGTAGTAAAAGAATCTTACCATAAAAACATAATTAGGTACACTTTCAATATTTTCAAAATATGTTTCACTTGGTAATAGCAAATAAAACATTGCACGTAAAGATTTAAAGAGTAATGCCATGATTGATGCTTGATTTTTTAGAGATCTGTAACTTCTTCTTTTGAGATGTGGTGCATTTTTCTGTTCTTATAATTTATATTTAAATACTTGATATTATGCAAATCTTTTATCTAGTGCAAATAGAAAACATTACACACCTGGGCGTAATTACCTTTATAGTAGCAACATTATTGCAATGATACTATTATAGATATTACATGCAGGAAAAGAATTGTACCAATTAGTCGGTATAATAGCAAACCAAGAAAAGTTTTTAGAAAAATATAACCAGTGCCAAATAATAAAGATAGGATGCAGAACATGTATTCTTTAGCAGAACATCGTTTCTTGAATCATATATGGTTACATAAAAATAGGCTCAGAATTACTTCCTGTTTCACCTTTTGTACTGAAAACTAAGTAGGTCAAACACGATAGCTATTTCTTTCACAAGCTTTAATAATACCATTCTGTGTAGTGCTACATTATTTCTCTTGATAGACGATGTTGAATGACACTTTTTTAATTAAAAATTTGGGCTCATTTGACCTATACAATTGATTGTCAAATTTCGCCTACCACTAACTTTTGATATCATTCAGTTTCAAGATATTTTAAAAAATATTTAACTTTTCTCTCTTGTTTTCGAGTACTACCGTTATCTTGATTATCTTGCAAGTAAAATTTGTTCAATTTATCTAAATATTTGCTTCACATTTACCAATCCGATTGAGTTCATCTCATATTGAATCAGTATCCAATATTTGTGGCATAAATTGAATACTGGCCAATAATTACAATAAAAAACAACATTGTACGAGAAGAAATTCACTGAATCGCATTTTATCAGATGTTGATAAAAAATTTCAAACATCTAAATATTTATTTTATTGGTGTTTAAAAAGAAAAAAAAGTTTGTTTTAATTTATTCTACGTATTTATTTTCTTTAATTAATTCTTTCTTGAAGTGGATATCTTAATAATACGAAAATCTAGGCCACATAAAAAGTTAAGAACCATAGTCTTTTGGTGGCTAAAAGTTCGATAAACAAACATCATTTTTTTCCGTTTCTTTTCATAATAAAAAGTCCTTATTTACCCTCACATTTACACTGGTCACGTTTAGACAGTGTCATTTTGGTTCATTCGACAAAAGAACTTTTTTGTTCAGGTCTGATTGAATAAATTGTGATTTTCCCGTCAAACCTTTCCATCCCATTTTTGGATTCTAGGTTATGTTAATCCGGTTAACATACGGTCATCGCAAATTCTAGGAGCAAATAGTTACTTTACAATCAATGTAGAAATCGAGAAACTGCCTTGATTATGAACCCTTTCTCTATCTTACTGAGCTACGCTTGCCATCACATTTGTTCTGTTCCTGTTTTCCAGTCGTGACAAGCAGATAGATCATGACTTCGTTGTTCTTCCCATTTTCAATGGAGATATGTTAAACCATTAAGACAGTAAACTAAATTCTCTGTGCTAAATGAAGCTATTAATTACCAGAAACTTTTAGTTATTCTCAATGAATCCAAAAGTCACATTTGAAAGAAAATTTTTTATTTTAAAACGAACTGTAAACTACAGGAGCATATATTAGTGCCTGACCTCTATCATGGTTCGATGATACAAACGCTTGTTTTGAGAAATGGCAATGTATGTACATACGATAATATCCCGATAATCTTATGATTAACTCTGCCCAGGTGGTCGAAAACGGTATCGTTAACGAGCCGTAAACGTCTTGTTAATGGACCGTTCTTTCAATATTTTGAATTTCTTTGAACCATGGTTTACCAGTCTCAAGGAGTATGGTACTGTAACTGGTATAGGTCCATAGACTAGGGCTACTCACTTCTGACAAGCTCCGATGACTTATATGCTAGAGAAGGAGAAAAATCTCGAAGTTATTCGGAGAAAATCAGCCTTCCATTTATACTAGTAGTGGAAAAGAAATAAAAGAGGTGAATGACTTTTCGACAAAGCGGCCCAAAAACGGTCAGTTTACGGTGTAGAAAATGGGCTCCACTCATTCACACCAATAAACGGTTTGTTTTTAGACCGTGTGCTGACGCTCTTGAAGCGACCATTTTTCTCACCGTTAACGTGCTGTTAATCGTCCGTTAACGCATCGTTTCGTTTGAACTGGGTGAGTTTTTATGACAGTCACCCGTTAAAATTAAATCTAGAGAACGTACTTGATTACTTGCTAAATACTTGGCAATGATAGAAATACTTGCCTTATTACTAAGAAGCACTTTCTGAAAATATTTGGCAAGTAAGGACAAGTACTTACAAGTAAATTTACTTCTGGAAAAAAAGCAAGTACCGACTTCATTACGCAGATGAAGTAATTATTCCAAGTACGTTCTCTAGAAAAAAATCTATCACTCCCGCAGAAGTCTAGACACACCATATAAGTTGACGTACTTCTTACTGAAGCTAAGACATGACACCAAGTTTTTATCAAGTTTGTCTTAATAAAAGTTTTATACGATTTTACATACACGAGCTAAGTTATAGACTTAATTTAACTATCTAACTTAATTTTAGCTTATATTAGTTTTTTTTAAATATATCCGTGAGATTGGTTCGTCAATATTCGTAAGTTCATAAACTTTAAGAGAAAGATCATGAGCGATTTTTGTTCTAGTGTTTAGTATAAAAAGAATTAAATTAAACAAATTTCCTTTTTCCACGTTGATTTTTGCTCTTCATTTTTTCATAATGGATAGGTACAGACAAGGGCCTAATACAAGAAATTGAATACTAGGAATATGTGAAATTGAGTGTCTTTTTGACATACTATAAAAAAGCTGATTATCTGAGCTGATAATTTTTTGACATCCATCCAAAGTTTGATCCTGTATGCCATGTATCTTGACGCATCTTACTTCATCCTAATTTGGTTCCTTGCTCAGTTGAATGAGGCTTCGGTTTTCGAAGTTTTTGTGTATCAATCAAATTTGCAAAACTATTAAATTAGGATGATGTGGAAAATGCATGTCAATGATTTTTAGGCATTCATTGTTTTTCTTATATGAGATAAATACAAAGGTGTCTTAAATCAGTAGTAAAAAAGTGGCACAAAAAAGTTCACTTAATGCTGCGTCTTAGTTAAGTTTATTCACGAAACATGAGAGTCGTCAAAGATCCGCGACCTATAATAACAATGATTCAAACTACTAATTTCGTTTAATTATGTTTAGTGCGCCAATGACTCATTTCACAAAAAGAGTATTAAATATACAAATAAAACATGTTATTCACACAAAATCTCATTAACTATATGTCAGATAAATTTTATTCTGCAGAAACGGACCATCTAGATACAATAACGAAAATGTGAAGGAATCATCTTAATCAGATCAATCGTTAATAGAGAAGTGCCCGTTACAAACTTTATTTAAATTTATTTGAGAGCTTTTTTTAAGTATCGGTATACTAAAAGCTTAACCTTGGCTCGTGCTATAGCGTGCGAAGCAGCGTAAAAAGAAAAATAGCACTGATAGAATTGACTAAGAACATGGCTAAAAGTTATTTTGGTAATGCAGTTTTGAACGAAGACACTGAAGAAAAACAGATAACCGACTCTGGAAGGTTATTTCAGTCGGTAATAGATACATAGAAAAATGAAGAAAAAGGAGTTTATAAGAGGTGGAATACGAACATATTCCCAATGATGGTGACGTAAGGAAGAGTAATGGAAATGTAAAGTTGGATAGAAAGAAGGTAAATCCATATAGACCCTACCACCATTACATCGATTTAAAGTGCAAAAGACGAGAAACACATTTTCCGATACAGTTTTGCACGCTGATTCCAATGGTGAAAACCACAGCTCGCTATCGGTCTAGGAAAACAAGTTACACTCATTTTATTTTTCAGCTAAAAAGCGCATTTTTTGGCATTTCCCAGCGGATTTTGTGATTTTTCGGAGCTTATTTAGACCTGCTATCCCTTTGGTACAACCTTCGTTTTGATTTCAAATGGAAGAGGATGCTGAGATCTATATAAATCAAGGAAAAATATTCGCGTTAATTTTCTGAAACAGGATCTCCAGAAAACTCCGTTTTACAGCAATCCTAGCGGATTTGGGATACATTGAAATGTTTTTTGAACCCATCAGTCAATAGTTCGTTCAATTCTGAATAAAACAAGACGTCTCCGAAGTTTCTAGCATCTTCCAGTAAAGAACTGTAAAGAAAGTGCGGAAGGTGGGAGTATTTTTAGGCTGAAATTTTCGTGCCCGTTGCAAAAATTCGGCTCGTTTGGGATTTTCCTTACAGTTCTTTACTGGTAAGTGCTAGAAACTTCGGAGACATCCCGTTTTATTCAGAACTGAACGGAATATTGATTGGTGGGTTCAAAAAACATTTCAATGTATCCGAAATCCGCTAGGATTGCTGAAAAACGGAGTTTTCTGATCCTGTTTCAAAAACTCAACACGAATATTTTTCATTGATCTATATAGATCTCGACATCCTCTTTCATTTGAGACCAAAACGAAGGTTCTACAAACGGAAATGCGCTTTCTAGAGGCTTTGCAATAGAGGGCGTTTCTGCTGGAAAACGGTGAAAAATGCGCTTTTTGCTGAAAAATAAAACGCGTATAACTTTTCCCCCTAGACAGCTAGAGAACTGCGGTTTTCGCCATTGGAATCAGCGTGAAAAACCACACCAGAAAACGTGCATCTCGCTTTCTGTACCATCACTTTTGTACCGTGGTAGGAGTCATACAGAGGGCTAAGGTGGCGATAAATTTTTTAAAAATTGTGCCAGCCGAAAATAGTTAGGGTAAACAGGAAGATTCAGAAGAGAAAACTGAACCACAAGTATAGAGTTATATGAACGGTTGTCAAAAAACACGAGAAATAATACGTGCAGCACGTTTGTTTACAGAATCAAGAACAGAGACAGAAAACGAACTGTCATACAAGACACAACAATAATCAAGTTTAGAAAGATTAGAAAAAAGAAAGATTAGACGCCTAACCTCTGATGAAGCTAATGCATCA